GGTCCGGTACGGGGGTGACACTGAGGGTTGCGATCCGTTGCCGGACACAGAAAAAGACAAACAAACAAACAAAAAACTAATGCAAAATTTGATTCCAAAATTACTACAGTACGGTAATAAATCACTAGCAATACTCAGCAAATGACCAGGGTCATGCATGTGCTCGCTTTGGTAGCACATACACTAAAATTGGACAAGGGTCCTGCACTACATCACCTATCCTTTTCTCCTAAGACTTTTCTCCTCAAGACTTTACTCAGATCCTATTTATCTATATTTTGCATATAATTCTTACATCCTTCATTTCTCTTTGAATTTGTTACTGACCAAGTTAGCCACATCATTATTTATTCTTCCATTCTGATGATAATAATGGCACCAGCATATTTGCTCTGTGCTTACTATGTGCCAAGCAGGCCTTTAGGCTAAGCCCCTCTACATGCATTGCTTTATATAGTGGATAATATCTTATAGGATACACAGACTCACAAGATGGAAGACAAACTCCAAATTAAGAAAATCTTTTTGGACTAAAGCTTTGAATTAGAATTTTTACCAAAACTGAACACAACGTGCATTTTCCATACTTTGGATGAAAGTCCTGTTGACTGATGGCGGCACTGCCAGCTGGAGAATGACTATTTAAAATAATTCTAGAAGCTCGGAAAAGGAAGTCATCTAACAATGGTTTAATGAGTGATGAACCTGGAATAGAGCATAATATTTATGTTGAGGATGAACACATATTTTAATTCAAAGATCCTATCTTGCACTTTCCTATCAGAGTAGCAACGGCACCCAAGGCCACCCAATGGCAGGGCATAAGGTCTAATTTAAGGTTTAGTTTTTGAATGCTCACTACATGGCAAAGCTCTGTTTGGTGGCGGGGTGGGGATTGGTGGGAGGGTCAGGGAACAGGATACAAAGACAGACAAGTGAGGGTGCCTTCCTCTATGAGCCTACACTACAGTGAAAGGGGTCAAGGTTTCACATCAGAAACCCAGTGACAAGAACACCACAGGCAGAATGGTTTGCATGAATAACTGATTATTGCTCTTGGCATGGGGAGTCCATAGAAGGGTTTTTGAAACTTTTTAAACCTTGCTCTCTTTAGGTAAAAATATATTGCCCTTCTCTCCCTGATTAAGAATCACTCTTTTCTATGTATCCCCAGTAGCCAAGAAGATTTTGTAGAGCTTAGTTT